GTGCAAGGAAAGGGGCTGCCTTTCCTTCCAGCAGAGATTAGTGGGAAGAGCAGCAGACTGCCTGTCTGAGAAAATATTAATGCCTCCACTGGAACCCTATTTCCATGTGGCTGCAGTTTTGTTTGTTTAACAAATCCTTTCCTCAGGCTCTTGCACCACCGGTTCTCAGACTCCTCCCAGAAACAGAGGTCATTTCACAGCTCCAAACCCCTAGGGCTGCTGAAACCAGTACCAAGCTGGTAAGGGCTGGGGATCCCACTGAAAGGATCACATAAGCCATTTGGAATCCCACTCCCTAGTTCAAGAGGCTCTGTCCTCAAACTGGGCTTCAGTTGTCTCCTAAGCATCCATTTACAGCTAAAGTTTATCCCAGTGGCTAGAGCAAGGCTGGGAAAAATCTGTTTTGAGAAATCATTATAGCATTACAGCCTGTTCCCTATAGGAAGAAAAGGCTTTTCACACTGGATGAGACCACTGGGATCAATCTCTAATGCACCAGCAGGAGGTTAACACTTTCCATAAAGTTCAGTGCCTTTGTTACATTGCTTTTGTCCTTCCCCTATCTGTTTGTTAAGTACTTGTGTTGCACCTAGTGAAACAGGGGCTTCATTATTATGATAAACCAAAAATGATAGATAGTGGTTGTATAATTGCATGCAGCATAATCAAATCAACTAGGTGCCTCAGCACACCACACTCTGCTCCTCTGACCGTTGCCTACTCAGAGTACTCCTTTATAGACTGTTGTTAGTGGGCAGAAAATGAACCTCAGATGACTTCAAAAACCCTCACCCCTGCTGCACCCTTGTTATCTGCTTCAAGCTCTATTTCAGCTCAGCCCAGGATGTAGGAGTGCCACATGCTCTTTCAGGGAGATGAGATCCCCCTTAGCCACTCCTCGGTCTGATTCTCTCACATGCTCTTCCTCTCCCCACTCCCCCAAAGTTATCCTTGCACAAAAGCTTCTTTTCTCCTTGCGGGCCCCATTCATTAGCAGGCTGACTCCTGGTCACGCTTGGTTAGATGGGATCCTTTTGCTTTCACAGCATAACCATTGTTAAGTGTTAATTGTGGAACAACAAGATTGTTCCCACGGTTTCAGAGATCTGAAGATAGGAAAAGGGTTAAAGTGGGGGTCCAAAGGCTGGGCTTGTTCTGGTAGCATGTTAAACCCCAAAGGCCAAATTCTCAGCTGGAGTAAATAAACACTGACTTCAATAGGGCTGCACTGATTTACACTAGCTGGGATAAAATCTGGTGTTTTCTCTGTGCACTGGTTCCCAATCAGTAACATTTTTTGAACGGTTCAAGTGTTCTTTCTGTCTGTGCCCCGACTCTGTGCTTCTCTCCCTGTCTCACCTGCACCCACAATGTCAGAGCCAAGCAGGAGCTATAATACCAAAGCAGCAAGCACTTTGGTTAACTAGATGCCTGTAGGAGTCAGTTTTAAGGCTGATTTGAGTGGCTAAGGCAGTAGTAGCTCACCCTCTTGGAAACATAGTATGTGGGGCAGTTTCACCTGACCACAGTGGTGGCATTACTGTACCCTTGAAAAGGTCTAGTAGCACCCCATGCTGCTCTGGCATCCTGTTTGAGAACTACTGAGTTAAGGTGATATGTCAGAACCAGAGCTGGGTGACATTTTTGGTGGTTCCATTTTTACCGGAAAAAAGTTAGATTTGGGTGGACTGAAACATTTTGCAAATTTGTGTTGAGTTCACTAATGAATTTTCATCAAAATAAAAAATCCTAAGATAAATTCTGAAAAAAAAATGAACATGGTTTATTTCAACGCTTCCAGAACAAAACTCTTTGATGCAAAGGGATGGTTGGTTTGAATAGACTTCAGTTGTATTTAAAGGAAAATTAAGCTTGAAAATGAAATGAGGCAGTCTGTTTTGACACGTTACATTTAGTTAAAAGTTAGTGTGTCGTCGTCCTGTTCCCCACCCCCTTTTTTTTTGGTTCATGAGAAATGTTAAAAAAAAATGTTTCAGATCAACACAGAACAATTAAAATGGGGTGTCATTTGGGGAATAAGCTTGTTTGTTGCTTACTGTAAGCTGCTCTGAGCCTTTCTGGATAGAGTAGGATATAAATGTAAATAACAAAAACAACAACATATTTTCAGGGCTTCTAAGGAACTCAGTAAAATTAGTCTTTTGGCCTGGATCTAGCTCAGGGCTTTATGGTAGAGTTTCCTCATACTCCAAGTGTAGCTAGATGGGAATGAAGATTTCTCCAAAATATTGGAGGATCTCCAGAGATACCTTATGGAAAAGTAACTAGAAAGTTCCCGAAGCCAAATCTTGTCTATCCAGCCCATCTGCTCTCACCCTGGCAGCGTCAAGAACCTTACAGCTGGCTTAACTACCTGTTTAGAGATTCCTGTGGCCCTTGGGAATCCACCCAGAGCATCAAACCCACTTAAGGATCCTTTCTGGGGTACATGGCATTTAGCAGCTCTTAGGAATGGTAACTCCCAAACATTGTGGTGTCTGACCAATGTCAACTTTTAATAACATCAGGCTTCTCATCCCTAGTTCTCAAAGCACTTTACAAGGATGAAGAATTTCATTATTTCTGCTTTGCAGATGGTGAAGTCACAGTGTAGAGAGGGGAAGTGACTTGTCCCATGATTTTTTTAGTCCAGGATCCCAGAGCTCTTCCCGCACAGAGTGGTTGTGTTGATTTTTGCTTGCTTAAGGGGCAACCTGGCCAGAACTTGCTGCTGCTTCACTGTAGACATGACTCCAAGCTACTGTAGCTGATTGCAGCTGGTGCTTTTATAGCACCTGGCCACTAAGAGGCAATGGTGGAAGAGTCGGGTTGTATTGAGCAAACAGCTGCTCCAGGATGCATTGACAAAGGATGTGGACAGGGGACCACTACAGAGTAGTTACTCCCATTTCCTGATGGATAACTTTACTCCAGAGTTGAGTGACATGCACCTGTATAAGGCTGTTTGCTGTAAGCATTGTGTGTTTGCTCCATTGCTGCTACCATGGCGTTAACTTGCATTTGGCATTGGGGTCACTTCTGCACACAGCTGCATTCTGGTCTCTGTCCTTTGCTGCAGTATGTGACTTAGGGAAGCAGGAAGCGTAATGTTAAGTGCTGTTTCCCCCACAGATAAGCCCTTGCCTATTTTACCCTCTAGGGAGGCCAGCACCCTGCACTACTATCTTTCGGGCAGTGGGGAATATTTGCCTTTGCTGTGATAGGCATGGTAAAAATGGCCACTTTTGTTCTCTGTGGGCAAACACTGTGTTATTCTTGTCATGACCCCCACAGGCTATGAGACCCAATGCATAACAGCTCACCAAGAAGCCTCCAGTTGGTCACAGGAAATAGCCTGAACATTTGTGACAGTTGGAAAGCATGGTGTACCAACTCCAGCAATGGCAACATGCCACACCCATGGTGCAGTAGGCAGATGATTATGGGAGCAATGCCCAGGCTGCTTGCTTGGGATGGCAGTGTCACTAGTTTGCTCTCTAGGAGTAAAAGGCCTCTCAGGCCAAATTGGCTTCTGCATGCCAAGTGGACCACTGTTAGCTTAGCAGGGCCCAAAAAGCTGATTGCAATTCATGGGGCTGCTGGAAGCATCTTCAGAAGTCTGGAAGTCACAAATCCAGCTGAAAGGGGTGCTGAAGTTAGTTATCATTGATGGGGCTCTCTGTTCTCTCTTTGAACCATGGGGCTGTGACTAATGACTGGCACAATGGTAGCAATAGCAAGTCATCTGCCATATGGATGCTAAGTGCTGTGGTTGGTACTGCTGCCAGCAGAGTGAGATCCTGGAATGAAAGATGCCACGACAGTGGTGATATAGAGCTAATGCAGCCAGCTGTACCATGGCCCTGGCTCTGGTCTGGTGCGTTCTCCTTGTGGGCATTGCTTGCATATGCGCATGTCTTACATTGCTTCTTCTCCCAGGTCTCTCTTAGGCTGATGCTTCAGTCCTCAGACTGGAATGCTCAGGGTACTCAACGAAGCCATGACCCAGCGATGTGCCGCACACGCAGGAGGCCCTCTGCACTGTCCTAGCTCTGCACTGGCCACTCTGCCAGCATGTGGGGCTCAGAGCTGCAGAGGCTTCACTTCTCTTTCTTAGTAAAGTGAACTTGACTGATTAAACTCTGGGCTTTCTCACTGGGAACAAGCCCCACTGCTTTGTGATGGTAATAATGTTAGCAGATGTTCCTGTCTCAAAGTTGTGGGCAGGCAAGAGGCCAGCCCCTTGCCATCTGCTCCTCTCTCCATGTGGCTGGAGAAGTGTAGGCCTGAACAATGGGAGATGTTTTGTCTGCCAGGGCTGGAGGTGTTTGTGTGGCATCTGGCTTGAGAGGGCAGCTGGCTTCAGCTCCTCCTTTCTCTGAACAGCAAACGTGTCCTGGTCCTGTGCTTCCAGTGCTGCTGGGGCATGTCTGGGTTTGGCTTCCTGGACAAAGCAGCGCTCTAAGGAGTTGGCCTTTCTTCCACCAGGACCAATTGTTTTGGTCTGAACCTCTCAGTCCTCTGCTCCCTCTGGCCATTACTTGTTCTGTGCCATATTCTGCTCTCAAACTCTGCTCCCCCTTAGTTTGGCACTGGCTACAAATCAGAAACAGCTCAGAAACATGGCTGTGTGGGTGCAGTTGCTTTAGGAGCACCTACTGGCTTTGACTCACTCCATGTCTCCACAGCACGATACACCACTAGTCCTTACACCAACATGCCAGGTCCACTCTTTTACATGGGACCTGGGACAGAGGAACTGAGGGAATGTCAAGTATTATAATCCCTTTCTTAAGATCAGAGCCAGGAGTAGGCAGCACATTGTGCAACTGCTGCAGAGAGGCTGGGATGAAACTGGTCATATAGGATGAAACTGTGTGTATTGAGGGGGTCTCTCTGTCTCTGGCCAGTCAGGCTGTTGAAGCCTATTTGATGGGAAATCTCCAAGGGTGTTTTCCACATCAGCTCCCTTACCTGCTGCTTTTGCTTTCTGCCCTCAGGTCAGCTGAAGCTGTCCATCGACGTGCAGGGCGGGTGTCTCATGCTGCACAGTAAGTATTACTCGGTTGTGTTGAACTCGACATGGTGCCACAGCCCCCAGTCATGGTCATGAGCACAGATGAAACCAGCTCTGGAGAGGATGCCCTCTGTGGGGTCTTGCACAGGCCCAAGTGCTATACACTGGGGTCCACTGCTGGGAGTGAACATTTCCATTGTGGGTGGACCGAAACTTTTCCTGTTTAGGTTATTTAACCCTTTTTTAACCCCATTGTTTGAAAACACTGGCTGTTTCAAAATACAAATATTGTTTTAAAAGGAAAAGTCAAGATGTTTTGTCTCTTCTGATTTTCCCTTCCTTTTTTCTTTTTTTGGCTAATGCCATTTGCCAAATTTGATTCAAATTTGCAAATAGGTTTGGTGGCCCCAGAACTGCCCGTTTCTACCTATTGAATTCCCAGCTCCCTGAAGAGTTGCACCCAGCTCTCCTGGGGGGATCTCTGCCATGAGAGTGTGCTGTTGGACCTGAAAGGGCCAATCCTATTGCTAAGGTGGCAATAGGCTCCTTAACCTTTATATGTGGTGCAGCCAGTGCAAGAAGGGACAGAGCAGTGCAGGGCAGGACAGGGGTCTGTACAGTCTCATCAGTGGGGTCTGCAGAGACTCCATTGTGTGAGGAGAGCAGTGCTTTACCCTTTACCTTCCTTTACCCGGCTCTAGTCAGGTTTTTTAACCAGGTGAAGCAGGTTCATTCCTGGCAGGACCTTCCTGGTCTCTACCATACCTCACTTCTCCCATGAATGAGTCAACAGTGTTGCAGCTGCAGGACCTATCCAGGGTAGCCCCGATACAGGGGCCCTTTCTGGCTGGCACACTCACAGACCTGGTATGGGAGCCTGGTGGGATGAGGCTTTAGGTCTCTTACAGCACCCATGACATTTACTGGCACTAAACAACTTTCTAACAGTGATAGTTGCAAATCCATTACCAACCGGCTTGGGTTTAGCTCTTGAGAGCAGAGCCAGAGTCCTTCCCTCTCTGCCTGCTTGTCTGCACATCACTCTCTGTCCATCCCTTTCCTTTCCTCTGTTCCCTCCAGGAGCCAGAATCACTGAGCTCAACATTACAGCTACAGCCCAGTTTCCCAAATCACTTTGATTCCAGTGGGCTCTGTCAAACCCTCTGGAGCATGAAAGAGGAGCTGGCTTCCCCGCTGGAGTGCTGCTGTTCTCATTCGCTGTGTAGGCCGACTATGCTGCTGCTGCATGGGGCTTCAGTTGGGAGTTGGGGTACAAGCCCCCAACTCTTCCACTTGACAGTGCAGGCACTGTGCTCTTTAGCCTCAAATAGTATGAACCCCAGAGCTCGTTCCACCCTACCTCAAGGGTCTTGCTGGCTTGTGCTGCACTGAAATGGGGCACTGTGCTGGGAGGGGCTGAGTGATCCCCACTTCTCCTGAATGCTCACCATCCACTGCTGCTCAGAAAGTGCAGTGGGGTGGTGGAAAGGGGCTTGCAGTGCCCAGCATGCTCTTCTTGAAACCACTGGATTCCACAGCAGCTGCCAGTACATCAGAGAGGGATTTACAAGGGGAGTCAAGTGCCTAAGATGGAAATAGGTGTCAAATGGATTAGGCACCTAACTCCCATGGATTTTAAGGGGAGTTGGGCACCTGACCTGTTGAGTAGTTCTTCTTTAATTTCTACTAGATGCCTGTCTGTATCTTTATATGCCTGACTGCCTTTGTGCATCTGACACCATGGGATTCAGTGCAAAGCTGTGTCCTCAGTGCAGTCCTCACGCCACAGGAGAGTGAAAGCCCCTGAAGTGATGTTAATGTGTCATGTGCATTTTGCTGGATCTCTTTTCAGAGATGAACAGCACTATACAGCAGTGTACATGGCACAGGGGAGCAAAATGCTTAACCCCAGCAGTGGGGCTGGGTGCATGTCACTGGAGAATGTTAAAGGTGCCTGGCAGAAAATTGAAATGGAGTCATCAGCGCTTCATTCTGCTGCATCAAGAAGGAGCGAAAGACCCACTTTTGGCAGCTCTCTTCCCTGTAGAGGATCAGGAGTGTTGGGTACCTTTGTTGCTTTATTGGAGGTCTCACATATATACACCTAGCAGAGCCATAAGTAGGATGTTCTAAGTTAGCACTGGGGGGCTGGTTGTGCCCCACTCACCCAGCCTTAGTTAAACAGCTGATTCTCATCTTCTTCTTTTTTCAGTTTGCAAAAAGCTGAGTCATAGGTGGAATAAAACCCCTTCCCCTGTGAATACGTCTGTTGTCCTTGATCTGAGAAAACTATTAGAAGTGGAGCCAGGTGCAAAGGGGCAGTATCCCTCCATCACCATGGAGCAGGGCTGCTGAATCCCAAGGGGCTCAGTGGGATGAAAGTACAGAAGGAGAAGTGTTAGGCTGAAAACCAAGTACCACTCCCATGGAGGGTAGTAACCAGCTCCGCAGGGGTCATGGAGGAAGCCCCACCACACATAACTAGACCACTTAACCCTTAGCCAATGGCTGCATGAGAGATCCCACCAGGCATATTCGAGTATATGTTTGACTAGTGTTTGCTTCCCTGAATGAGAGCCTAGGGACAAACTGAGCCATCATGAGCAGACAGCAGGAAGCTCTTTAATCCAGCAAAGATAGAATAGGATACAGGGAAGCAGAAGCTAGGAAGATCTGGGCTAGAAGTAAAGCATGTGTATTCAACACAGTGGTGAGAGAGCAATTAATCACTGGAAGAGCTGACTAGTGATAGGGTAGACTCTCTGGCACTTGGTGGTGTTAAACTAAGACTGGGAATTTCTTTCTAAAAGATCTGCTCCAGCTCAGCCACAACTTGTGAGGTCACTGAAGACATCCGTGGCTGGGATCCTCTGGTGATGCTGGAAGCCAAAGTGAATGAACACAATATCTCCTTTTAGCCTTTGGGGCGGGTGAGCCCCAAACACAGTTTTGGAAAATAGCATGCGAGAACAGTGGGTCCTTGCTGAGCCCACTCTGCTCCCATAGCATTTGTTGTACTGTGCGTTGCATTTTCCAATGGTCCCAACTCTGATGAAGAGAAATGCATGCATCTCCCAGCTGAATGCAAAAGGCAATGCCACCTTGCTGGGCATGTTCTGAATGACCTTTGCTCAGCCATGACAGAATGCCACGTGCTATCTGTGCACTGGGGACAGATTCTGATTTCACTCACACGGCTGGAAAACACGACACCTCCCTGCTGCAGTCAGTAGAGCAATGTTAGGCGTGCATAGGCGGAGCTGAGATCAGCACAGAGCTTTTGATATTTGACTTGATGATACACTTGACCCTGGGGCAAGGTGCCTTGGGCCCTTGAGTTGTGTGAAGCCAGGCACATGAAATGCAATTTGTCATCTGGATGCTGAGCTGTATCTGCCTTAAACTTCACTCAAGGATGCCAGTATTTGTAGTACAATTTTACTTAAAAATACTACACCCATTGATCATTTCTTTCTGCAGCCTGCCCTGCTGTCAGGGTGCCCATGGTGCTGGGGAGGTGCATGCAAGGAGCCTGCCAGGCGGGTCACCTTCCAGCCTGTGCCCTTTATGCGAGACTGGTTTAATGCTGCATGTCAGGCTCTGAGCAAAGAAGAGCCCTGCTATCTGTGTGCAGTGCCGGGGCAGCAGAGAATTCTTGGAGCACAGTGTGGGGGGAAGATGTTATTTTTCTTGTCTTTTTCCAACCACATTTCATTTTCTTTTTAGTTATGGAAGCAAAAGGCCTGATGGGCAAAGAGTACCGGACGTGTGATTCTTACGTGAAGGTGGGTTCTTCTGCAGTTGCTGCAAGGCTCTGGGTTCAGTGTGCTGTGGGGACAACCTTGTTTGGTGCCCTTCCTGGCTTTGAGGTCTATTTTCCCAAGCATGCACTGGACTATCACCCTTCCCAACACCTAGTTCGGGGATGTGAATAAATCAAGTCACACCCATTGCATGGAGCTCTCCATTTGTCTCGAATGACCTCTCCTCCGACATTGATCTGTTGCCAAGTGCTTTTCCTGCATCAGGTGAGTGAAGACAGCTGGTCTCTTGCAAGATGCTGGATCCCTGTGTTAATTGCTCCTGTGGGGATGTCAGCCTTTGACCATGAATTTACTGCTACAGCATCACTGCTCACCTGGAGCTGCATGCCAGCTGAGTGGCTTTTGCTTGGGTTTGGGTTAACAAGGATTATGTGCCTATGCTCACCATTTTCTGCAAGAATATTCCATCATGCAGATTACGGAAAGGGGAGAAAGAAGTTCAGCCTTGGGCAAACAGTAGCAAAAGTGCTGCAGACACTGGGGGCAGGTTTAGCAGATGGCACCTGAATAAGTCATTTCTTTGTCTCTTTTTCCTGACTGAACAAAAATGCATGCTATTATATGATGCAACACACCATATAATATGGTGTATGATGCACTCCTAGTGCAGGTCTCCAACCCCTTGGTGGGAGGGGTCGGGGCTGTTAAATCAACCCCTGGATTTTCTGATATTTAACTTGTATTTTTTCCATAGTATTTGCTCATGAGCAGCATTTGTCCCGCTTGCTTTACCCTAGGAAGTTTTGTCATGTTGTTGCTAGACATGTACAATCCAAAGTGATCTGTAAATGTGGCCAGCATAGACTCCACTCACTCTTTGAGACCTAGCCATCCATGCAGCTGGCTCTACAGGTCTCCTGGTAATTATAGCACCAATGAGGTAATGACTCACCAGAGTTTGTGTTTGCTGAGAGAGAGCTAATGTGTCATTTGTTTCTCCAAATGAAGATGTCCATAGTACCGGACACTGATCGGAAATGCAGGCAAAAGACCAAGACTGTGCCGGACAGCAAAAATCCCGTCTTCCACGAGCACTTTCTCTTGTGAGTATGAATGGTCAGATGCAGCCCCATCCTATTGTGCTGTGTTCCAAACTGGGCATGTGTTCTGAATGGAATTGGAAGCGAATTTGCACAGTAGCTGTGCTCTGTGAGTCTCTTGTAGCCAAGACCCAGCATTGGCTCTTCAACTATTATCTTTAATAAACATGCCTCATGCATGACAGGCTTTATACTGAAATGAGGAGTGACAGACATTATTTTGCTGTTTCTTGTAGCTGAAATGCCTTGAACTTTTGAACAGAGCTTTGCTGAAGCTCACAAAGCTGTCAATAGACAGCATGACAGCAATATTCCTGCCCATTTGGAGTTTCTTATTGGGTAGCTTCTATACATCCATATGGAGTTGGGGAAACAAACTCCATTTCCTAGATACTGAGCCAGCAATGAAACGGGGGATCAGTATGAACAAGGAAGGTAAACGGCTTTCCCAAAGCTATCGCATGTCTTTGCATGGTAAAGGAGCCCTCTGGCTTGTAGCATTTTGGTAGATCTCATTATCTCTTGCAGACCTGCTGTTGCGAGACCTCTGCACTCATAAAATATTTAATTCAGCAACAGAGTGATTATTTAACAGCATGATTTGTAGGTTTTCTTGTTGTGTTTTTGCTTTGATGCTTAACATGTATCTTCCTGTAGGATTTTTTCCCCTTAAGCAACCTGAGCTGTATTTCATCACCTGCCCTAAAGAGTTTACCTCTCTTCTAGTAGTGTGTCGACAACAAATGGCTTGTTGTTTAACTATGCAAGCAAGAGTTCTTTATTATGTAATAAAAATGGGTTGGAGCTTGCACTTTAGTAAATGAGTGTACAGCAGCTCTTTGGAGAAGGCTGCACTCTGTAGTGCTTGCCATGGAGATGTGTGTGGGATCCAAGGGACAGGTTGTGGAGAAAAAGTTGCAGCAAGTGCCTGTGTCTGAGGAGGCAGAACTGTGGCAGTAAAAGCATGCTAAAACTTCCAAATGCTTGGTACTTCTGGATGAGTGGCACTCACATCCCATCTTCTCTGGCTTGTGTCACAGCCCAGTTCAAGAGGAAGATGAACAAAAGCGTCTTCTGGTTACAGTCTGGAACCGCGAGAGGAATTCCAGGTAAAGGTGCTGCTAGGACGGGGCTGGGGTTTGGATGCTGGAGAACTGTCTCTTTAAGAAAATGAACCATACTGTCTGCTCTGGTTAATTTCATGTGAGCTCTTTTGGAGCCCTTTGCCCCATGGCTCAGCCTTGACATTGGGGACTGCTGTGAGTGCACTGAGGGCAGGCTGCTGCTGTTTCATTTGAGCAGCCCTGGCATTGGATTTAGGTCTTCTCAAGCCATGTGTGCAGATATCTGCAGGAAGAGGAGGACACGTGTCCTGGATCTGCTTCCTCATGCGGTGGGGGGGTGCGGCGCGCAGGCTTCTGATTGACTTGACCTGACTGCTCCTCCGTTTCTGTTGGCTGCTGGAAGGCTGCAAGTGTTGAAGGCTCCATGTTCTGCCTCTGACCAGGCTCCAGGCTCTCCCATCCTGCTACAGTGGGGTGATATTTAAGCAAATTCAGCTCCTAGTGAAGGCGCTGCTAGGGCCAGGGCAGCATTTTGCATACGGTTTTGGATAGTGTGGCTGAGAGAGAATTCTGCCTTGGGGAAGCTCACCCGGTGTCTACCCACACTTATGCCTGCAGTAGCCCAAGGGTGGCTCTCTGGCCCCCTGCTCTGCTGCTTGAAAGTTCCTATGCATGGCTTATGGAAAGTATTTTTTCTACAGAATAGCCTCCCCAAGTGGACACTGGTGTCACCGTGGGTGCTCTTTGCATAACAGGTGATCAGACGTCACATGAGCAGCAGCTAATGCCATGGCACACTCCACTTGTGTGTAGATATGGAGCAGACCTGAAGATTTTGCCAGGTTTATAGCATCCAAGAAATACTGAAGGGAAAGGTATTGGGGTCCTTTAAGCTCCATCCTGCCAGGAAAGCCCTGCCCACCTCCTGACCTGCTCCAGCCAGTGCCGGCTGCCCATTAGCCACCTGAGCTCAGTGATATGTTTCTTCAATCCTTTACCTCCTGCACTCTCAGAAGCATTTCTGTGCCAAAGCAGTGTTGTGGGGTAGTTGTCTTCCCGGGACATAACCCAGTCAGTCCATTCTGTAGTAAAGAATATCTCCCTGCTGCCATAGGAGGCACAGCTATTGGAGATATTGCTTAGAAAGAAGGCCTTCCAGAAGCAAGTGCTTTTAAATGGCTTCACTGTTTCCCTTTAACATTAGAAATTCAGGTCTTGTTTCCTCCGTTGTCCTAAGAAGACTCTCTGGAGAGCTGGTGGGATTGTGGCATCTCAAGCAGGAAGGAAGTTAGCTGGGAGGAGAAGAGGTTTTCATGAAGTCCGTTCAAAACTCTTACATTTTTGGGGGTGGGTGAAATTCATATTGACTCAAATGCCTGAGAAACAGTTGGCAGAAAAGCTCTCTTTGCTAATGGTTCAGCCCCTCCTTCAAATAAAGGCTCTGGAAGCTGCCTTCAGTGCTCTCCACCTCCAAAGAGAGCTGCCCTAAAGGTGGGAATGACAAGGCTGCTTTAAAAAAACACATAAAAACTTCCCTTGTAATTTAACTCATAAAACTGAAGCAAATGCCAAACTCCACTTCCACCCTTATTGTTTCCAAGTTAAAAATTGGGACAAGGTACTGGACTCTCAGGCCTCTGCATGGGATTTGTCAGCAATGCTAATGTGAAGTGAACATGATCTTTGTACCTTAGTCTGGGACCTGGAGATATGTGTTGTGCTCTGTCACCAATGAGATCTGGATATAAGTGCCAGGTGCTTTTTCCAGGGTCTCTCTGCTGAGCCAGAAGTCCTGCCTGGGTATGCAACCTGCATCTTTCCCTCAGCAAAATGTCTGTCCAGGGTAAAACAGCAAAGCTAGGGCTCCTGTTCAGACTGGACTATGCTCTTTTAGGGAATTGTGGGTTTTTTGGGACAAACTGAGATGCAAGTTCCCAGCCCTTCTGTGTCCCTGATATGGCAGACACAGCCCTATGAAGCAGAAATCCAGCCATGGTTAGGACTGAGGTGACATCACAATTAACATGGTTACAACATCACAATTAGCATGACCAGCAAAGTGGAGGCTGGAGACGGAATGGGAAGAGTAGGTATTGGTCAAAGGCCTTGTTGTCAGGCAGAGTGGAAAAACATAGCTTGGAATAGGTGGGGGCTGGGGGCTGTCTATGTCTCCTTAATCTTGTGCTAATATTACTCTTGAAGGGAGCTGGGTCTCTTGGCATGGGGAATGAGGTCAGAGCAGAGCTGGGAGTGGGGAGGTTTCCATGGATCTGTAGGGCAAGTGGAGTTTGCAAGGTGGTGCTTGAAGGGGAAGCCCATAGAAAAATGTGCTTGTGTAGGGCTGTTGCCACAGGGGGACTTCAGCAGCGGCATGCTAACCCTTTTCCCAATCCTTTCCAGACAGAGTGAACTGATTGGCTGCATGAGCTTTGGAGTGAAGTCTCTCTTGACCCCAGACAAGGTACAGTGAGCAGTCTACAATTGGTTTGGGCTCCTCTCTATAAGGCAGTCAGGGAGTTATGGGAATTTTGAAAGAACCCTTGCCTGAAACATCCTGCATTTATGGAGGAGGGTGCTGGGGCCTTCCCAGGGAGGCTGGTAGGAGAATGGATTGGAAGTGCTAGGGGGGTGTTCTGCTCTCCAGTGGAGGGAGCAGGTGGAGCTGTATGCCCTGCTGTCTGGGCAGGAGCTGGTGAGCTGTACTTTGGGGTGGAGCTTGGAAGGTACCATCTTGGTTGGGGAGGACCCTAGTCTTGTTCCCAGCACTAATGGCCCTTTTATGACTTCCAAGAGTGCAGAGCAAGGCTGTCAGAGTTTGGTTCTGGAGAGCAGATGGAGAGGGGACTCTGGACCTGGGTCCTTGAACCCCATCTCTGCCCCTACTGAGGGTGGGACCTGGAGAGAGCAGAGGACAGTGACAGCTTCTCAGTCAGCAACACCTGCTACCATACCTGGTGTCTTATTTGTGAGCCCAGGGCACTTGCTGATATGGGCCCTCCTCTTCCACAAACAACTTTTTAAGGGAAGTGGCTGATACAGTTAACCCCCCTTCCCTCCCCCCTACTCCCTTTGTCCTGCCATGTCCTTAATATGCAAAGGATGTTGGTCTTCTGAGTCCTGGCCTGGGTAAAACTGGGGTGGGAATGAGCTGGTGGGAAGCTGAGTTGAATGAGGCTGAGAAGGTGCTGGCAGCAGAGGGAAACACAGCAAGGATTTGGTGAGCAGGGCTGGGGAGGTTTGAGCTCATATCCTGTGGAGATGGCTTTGGAAGCTCAGGTGGCTGGAGTAACCAAAGGGGCCTTGCCATCTGCTTCTGTAAAGTCATTAGAGAGTACATCCCTCAAACCCATAGCCTGCTGGCTTGCCCTTTTTCTCTTTCCCAAGGTGTTGGTTTAACCCTCTAAATCCCAGATGATATCACCACCCAATGCTTTCCTTGTAAGGCTCTGGGGCTTTGCAGATGGTTAATCCTCACCACCCCCAGGAAGCAGGGTCACAATAAGCCCCATTTAAGAGATGGAGAAAGCGGGGTGCAGCAAACACAAGTCAGATTTCCAAACAAAGCTACTGAGTTGGCTGCCCAGCTGTGGGAGAGCAATGGGGAAGGAGCAGATGGATATGGTGAACAGGGGCAGGCCAGCTTGTCAGGGGGGACTTATGGCCCAGTCATGCAACTCTCGTACACATTGCCTGGGAAGATGGTGACCTGCGTTCCATGGGGCTGGGATCCTCAGCTGTGCAGAAACCTGTTTCTCTAGCTAATAGTTAATGCTAGCAAAAGAGCTTTGGAAGGGAGACCAAGCCTCCTGTCTTAGGGGTTAGACTCTACTCTCTAACTACTGTAGACCCAGAGAAAATCTGCATAGGGCAGCCTATCTTATATCTATTTTGGAAGGGTTTCTGCCACTTTCTTCTGAAGTGTGTAGTCCTGCATTATCAAATCCCAGACCCTGAGCATGAATTTGAACTGACCTGATAATTCCTATGTCCTAAGACCCAGCTTCTCCCTGAGCCCCACTTCCTGCTCTGCACCCCTGGGTTTTGATTGTTCTCTGTCCCTTGGGTTAATTCATGACCATCATAGCCACACAGGGATGCACCACCCAAGTTATTTGTGGAGTTATCCTGAAACAGTCCCATGGTTTCCAGCCAGGAGCATCCATTCCTGCTCCATTGCTTGATAATCATGATACACTTTCGCTAACCCTCTCACCAGAGGGGGATGGGAGGCGACTGCTACTCTTCTCACAGTTGCTGTCTTGTTACCATTCTGTGCACTGGAGCAGACACGTTGTGGGCTGGGCTAGCAGTAGCATTATTTCCCATTGTAGACTCAACACAAAGGAGTGGGCAGCAGGGAACACTGTCAAACCAGTGCTGCCACAGCCTGGCTGCACTGTGATAATACAGATTTAAAATACACTGGTTTTTTCTTTCTACCAATTCCCACCTCTGAGTCCTGAAAAACACAGGAAACACTGGAATTGCCCAACTTATCCAGTGTCCTGTTTGTGGCAGTGGCAGAAGATACGGGGACTCTTCAGTATAAGCAGTTGTGGAATTACCTGCTCACAAGGAAATTTTGTCTTAGTCCCTGTCATGTAGAGATTTCATTATTGGATACTGCCTCCAGTTCTGGTGGTTGCACGTCAAAAAGGAGCCTGGTAAATTCAAATGGATTTAGGAAAGCTGGTGAATGATTTGAGGTCTGTGAACTTGATTTATTGCAAGAGATTAAACACAATCAATCTAGTTGAAATCTTTGTAAAAATAAACTCTGGCTTAGCCACTAGCTCTGGGCTGGATGTAGGACTATCTGGGGAAGGTTTTTGGGCTAGTGTCATACAGGAGGTCATCCTGGGTGATTGAATGATTGGTCCTGACTGTGACATCAGTGAATCTCAAGTCTCAAGTTTGCTCAAGTCTAGAAGCAGGAGGGTTTAAGTTCCTTCCGAAGCCCTTGTTCTCCTATAAGAAATTGCTCATCTGCACTCTCCCTGGAGCATCTCATCCTTTCTGGAATCTTACTAAGCTGTGGCAATGAATTCTATAGGCTAATTGCAGCGTCTGAGCTCAGTGCTTGGGGGCAAGAATGTGTATCTGCACGTGCATGTGCGTGTGTACCTTCCCCCGCTCCCTCACACGTGCATATTCATACAATGCCCTAAGGGAGGAGTCTGGAGGTTGATCTGAACACACAGCTGGCACCACTGTGGTTGGCCAGAGCTATCCCTGGCTTTAGTGCCCTATATGCTATTGCACGAAACTCTTTGAGACAGTTTCCTGCTTGCTGCCTGCTTCCTCTAAACAACCCCTTTTTCATGGCTTGATGGAATGAAATGCCCAGCGTGGTTGCTCCAGCATGCTTGGCTTGCTAGTAGGGTTGCCAACTCTGTTTGAATTTATTCTGGGAGGCTTCCAAAACACCAGCATACTTGCAACACACAATGCGAACATGCCTGTGTGTTTGTGTATATCAGTCATAGATTATGGTGCATAGACTTTATATCAGGAAGGCAAATGCATGTTACTATTACATTTTAAAAGTCCACTGGACTACCATATAAATTGGATTCAATATTTAATATTTATTTTAATGAATGCCCTATCATTTATCTCCTGAGTGATTCTCAGCAGTCTCCTGAAGATTTATATCTAATTTCTGGAGACTCCAGGGCAATTCTGGAGGGTTAACAATCCTGTTTGTTGGGAGGGAGCCTAGCTGCAGTACAGCTAGCATTCCCTACCCGTGCTGGTGAAAGCTGTTGTCAAAATTGGGAAATATCCTTTCTAGTGACAAAGTTAGAACCAGGGTCTCTTTGTTGGCACCCAGTAGATGGCAAGTGTGATGTGGGCCCAGTTCTGGTAGGGACTGAGCAAGTTTCGCTCAAGCCACTGTAGAGTTTTTAGAGGTTTCAGTAGCAGTGCAAGGTCACTACTAGGCATCGACAATGTGTAAGCAGTGGGGCGTGGGGGGTGGTGGTGCACTGCCCACACTGCTGCTGAGCGCCGGTTCTGACTGGGCTGCAGCTCCACAGTCAGTGCAGAAATTGCACTGTTGCCACTTTGCCACTGCCCCCACTGCTGCTGAGCCCTGACTTTGGCTGTGCTGCAGACCTGCACCTCATCATCGGTGTAGAAATCCTGGGGGTACATGCAGTGACCTAGGCCTGGTCTCCACCTGATGTGACCCCTCTGGTGCATAAAGAGGCTGAAGCGCATCTGGAACTCCACTTCCCTAGAGATAATGGCTAGATCGCCAGGTCAGACTCCTAGGGGGGGCATGGCGGGAGAAAGGGGATTGGGCCAGATTGCTTCTTTGCTCTGGTAATGTCCAGATGCTAAAAAAGTCATCTGGGCAATGTGCAGTGAGACATAAATTAAAGGAGCCCTGAGATTCACTGGTCCCTGGCCGGTTCACTGGTGCTCTTTTCCTTCTGGTCTTGCTCCAAATACAGTATGGCTAAACCCAAGAACAAACAGTTGAGGTGAGCAGCTATGGGCGACATCCCTGGCATTGGGAGTGCCTTGGGTGCTTTCCGTGGGTAAGCTCAGCATGTTCCAGCACTCAGAAGCATGCTCTCTGCCACTCCTATCTGCTCTTCTTTTGCCCTAGGAGATCAGTGGCTGGTACTACCTCCTTGGTGAGGACCTGGGCAGGACTAAACACCTGAAGGTGGCCATGCGGCGTCTGAAGCAGAGCAGAGGTGAGTCTCCCATGGGAAAGTGTCCTGGAGAGATTATGGTCCCAAGAACTAGTGGAGCATAGAAAGAGAAGGAGTCTTGTTCCTTGCCATCCTATGACTGAATGGGGCTAGGCCCAGCTGGGTGCCAATCAGCAGAGCCTGCTGGCCCTGTAGCTGTACCTCCAGGGGAGGTGTGGAGCCCTGTGACTATGGGTGATACCTCTGTCTGGTGACTCCACCAAGTCTCCTGCTGAGATGTGTGGAGCTGGTCCCAGCTGGAAATCTCCCTTAGTAGTTGCCAACACTGTTCACCAGTGTTCACACTGTTCATCAGTGCTGCTCCCAGCTCTGATGGTGGGAGTGCTTCTTAGCACATCGGTACAGCTGGAGCTGACATTTGGAAGAAGGAAATGCAACAGTGGGATATTCTGGGAAAGATGCTCCTGGGCTGCTGGGGCATCATGTGAGAAACCAGGATTCTGCTGAACTCCCTAGTCATATGCTAGCCCTGGGCAGGAGTGTTCCCAGTAGTCCATTCTCTCAGGCAACAGCTGCTGATGGTATCCTGACCATCCCCAAATCCATTAGCCCTCTAGCTGTTGCAAGGGATTTTCTGCTCCTTACTTGATTACTAGGGATCCTTATTTTCTCTGATAAAAAAAAAAAAAAAAATCCCTAATTTTCAGATTTATAGAAGTAACCCAAAATCCAAATTTTTCCATGATTAAAATGAAACACTGTGTGTGTGTGTGTGTGTGTGTGTGTGTGTGTGT